AATATAGTCTGGATAACAGAACCTCTAAAAATATAAACAGGTATACACTAGGGACGTAATATAGTCTGTATAACAGAACCTCTAAAATATAAACAGGTATACACTACGGACGTAATAAGTCTATATAACAGAACCTCTAAAAATATAAACAGGAATACACTACGGAGGTCATATAGTCTGTATAAACAGAACCTCTAAAAATATAAACAGGTATACACAACGGACGTAATATATTCTGTATAAACAGAACCTCTAAAAATATAAACAGGTATACACTACGAACGTAATATAGTCTGTATAAACAGAGCCTCTAAAAATATAAACAGGTATACACTACGGATGTAATATAGTCTGTATAAACAGAACCTCTAAAAATATAAACAGGTATACACTACTGAGGTCATATAGTCTGTATAAACAGAACATCTAAAAATATAAACAGGTATACACTACGGACGCATTATAGTCTGTATAACAAAACCTCTAAAAATATAAACAGGTATACACTACGAACGTAATATAGTCTGTATAAACAGAGCCTCTAAAAATATAAACAGGTATACACTACGGACGTATTATAGTCTGTATAACAAAACCTCTAAAAATATAAACAGGTATACACTACGAACGTAATATAGTCTGTATAAACAGAGCCTCTAAAAATATAAACAGGTATACACTACGGATGTAATATAGTCTGTATAAACAGAACCTCTAGAAATATAAACAGGTATACACTACGGACGTAATAAAGTCTATATAACAGAACCTCTAAAATATAAACAGGTATACACTACGGACGTAATATAGTCTGGATAACAGAACCTCTAAAAATATAAACAGGTATACACAACGGACGTAATATAGTCTGTATAAAAAGAACCTCTAAAAATATAAACAGGTATACACTAGGGACGTAATATAGTCTGTATAACAGAACCTCTAAAAATATAAACAGGAATACACTACGGACGTAATATAGTCTGTATAACAGAACCTCTAAAAACATAAACAGGTATACACTACGGACGTAATATAGTCAGTATAACAGAACCTCTAAAAATATAAACAGGTATACACAACGGACGTAATATAGTCTGTATAAAAAGAACCTCTAAAAATATAAACAGGTATACACTAGGGACGTAATATAGTCTGTATAACAGAACCTCTAAAATATAAACAGGTGTACACTAAGGACGTAATATAGTCTGTATAACAGAACCTCTAAAATATAAACAGGTGTACACTAAGGACGTAATATAGTCTGTATAACAGAACCGCTAAAAATAAAAACAGATATACACTACGGACGTAATATAGTCTGTATAACAGAACCTCTAAAATATAAACAGGTATACACTAAGGACGTAATATAGTCTGTATAACAGAACCTCTAAAAATATAAACAGGTATACACTACGGACATAATTTAACAGAAAAATGTGACTAATTTCTTCTCAGGACAACTCAAACATGATGAATTGTAAATCAAGTTGAATTAAATCATAAACTTTCATGAAACATGTTTGATATTTTGCATCAAACTGATAATGCTGTAAACCCTTTCCTTATTAGAGTTTTTCTACATCCTGTATAAATTTATGGAATGTTTCCTTTGAGATCTATTGGATTGCCACCAGTTTATGTCAGCACTGATGGTTATCTCCTCAAATGAATATATTAATACAGCGTATATAGGTACGTAATCTTATAGTTGTCGTTTCTATCAGCTGTACACATCAAATCCTTCAATTTTCATACCTGTCTCTGACAGGTTTTAGAAATCGTTCTAGTTTTAATCTTAATAGGTTTTAGCAAGGTGACGTAGTTTACTTCCTTTGTATATATAAGATGGTTTATCAGGTTTTATTAAGCTCACAAGATATATTTTCTGGATTTATAAGATGTCTTATCAGCAAAAAATTGTGTATTTGCCATAACCAAATATTAGTGTAATTATGGATGATTTTTTAACAGTGGCGGGAATTAATTTCATCTCTTGAGTAAATTACCGGATGAGATTAATTGATAGGTTTGTTGGGAATGTAAATTACCTACTCAATAACACCATTACAGTAATACATTTAAACATGGAATTTGCGTAAACCTATTTTTTGTAGGAATTGATGATTAAATTTCAAAACAAATATTAACAGGATTTAATTTGATTTAGTTTCCAGCACAACTTTCCAAGTTGAGCTTACATCTTTAAAAATGATCCATTTTGCACAAAGACAGGAAACCCAAACAATGAATGAACAAAGTTGCAAAAAAAATTCCTTTCACCAGGGTCATATGATCCTGACACGTAAAATCCTGTTGTTAAAAATATTAATTTGTCTTCGTTTTCCCTGACTAGTAGGTTGCTGGTAATTGTACAAATTGATTATCTCCCCTTGTCCATGTGTTGACAGGCTGTGATAAGGTATTGACTGGACATTTAAAGGCATTAGAGTGAAAGGTTGATAATATTAAAGTTGAACTGAACTTGTTTATATTTATGCAGGGATTGAGTTGATGGAGATATGGAAATGGAATCATTTTATGTGTGGCAAGCCGGTACTTAATAGATGTGGCATAACCAAAACGATACCTGAAACGATACTTATATTAGGCAATTTCTCCACTGTTCTTCTTTATACAGGTCTTAAGGAGTCATGTTTCCTGTCAGATTTGTTCATACATACAATATTATAGGTTGGGAGCCTATTTCGAGTGTTAGAACAATTTGAATTATCCAGTTATGTTGCGGAAAAGTACAGCTATAACAAACACTCTTACCAGTGGAGTGTGTTTAAGCTTCCTGCTATATGATCAGTAGGTCAGGGATTACAATTGTAGTGGAGCCTTCATGTGGTAATGAATAAGGATATCGTGATAGGTTATATCTTTTTCATGTATTATTCTTTGCTATAGCCAAGCAACCATGCTGAACATTTATAGGATAACACAGTGAGATTGGACACTCTTGTCTTAAGGTTCCTAAAGTGGGAGAAACAAATATCTAAATCATACTTTTATTTATTTATCTTTTCAAAGTGACCAAGCATCTATACTACATTTCGTCGGAAAGGTAAAATAATGGAGCAAATGAAAGTAATGACATTGTGTAATCTTGTCCTGGATTAGATGAGGTTTGGTTTGTAACCCTACCTAATCCACCTCCAGATTACGCAATGTCATTACTTTCGTTTGCTCCATTATTTAACCTTTCAGACAAAATTTCATTATCTCCACCGTGTGGAACCAGCTCCTAAGGGTAAGGTTTGGTGTGTAACCCTACCTGTAACTATTCATATTTCATTTTCTAGGAAATCTGCACTACCAAAAGTCTCTTAAAGGTCACATGTCACACACAGCTGTTATGACAATAGCAAGGTCACAGGTCGTAGCTAAAGTCATGCCAAAATCACAAAACAATACGAAACAACCAAAGCTGGCAGCAGTTTATGAGCCTTGTAGCAGCTCTGTGTCAGGGTTCTACACTGGAGACAGCAGTCCTACTATTAGAATGTTTACAGAGACAATAGATCCTACCTCAGATGCTAGCCCTCTTGTTTGGAATAAAATGCAGATTTGAGTTGATAAAATCAAGTCACCATCTCTCGTGAATTAAAGCAATGTTCACCAAACTGGCAGATAGATGCAAATTACTCGCTTAATTTCTACAGCAACAAGAAAGGTTTTAGTAATTAATTATTCAGTAACTCTTAAAGTTTTTCCTACAAGCCATCTTGTGCTTGTAATAGAAGAAAAGAGCTGTTCTTTTGTTAATGTCATAAAACACTCAATATTTCATTATCTCCAGCGTGTGGAACCAGCTTCTAATTCACCTATTAGTGGCATTTGGCAGCTTTTATAGACCTGAGAAATTGAGGGGGGAAACCTAGTTTTTTAATGTTCAGGCATTAAGCCATGATGCCAATATCTTATTCAGTGAATCAGTGTTAAATAAAGTGCCGGTATTTTACATTGACTGATCAACACTTTCTGGTCTGTTAGACAAGCACTATGGACTACATTAAACTAAATTTTGAAGATCTCTTCATAAGATAGCATACTTATAAAAAAACAAAAACATTCACACATTAAATATCATTGTAATTGCTTAATTTGTATTGCTTTGTTATTTTAAAGTAATATTTGAGCTTTAATGTCTTAAAGTGTTTCAAATTCTGGAGAGAAAAACAAAGAAGTGCACCTGGTTTCATTGAAAATGTTGGGGGGTTTTGTTGTTATATTTTGGCTGTTCAGACAGGTTATGTCTATCAGCATTACAACTTTTAATGAAGAAAGACTTACTGCAACCTTTTTTTCTTAATCTTTGAAGATCAAACACAGTAAAAAAAAAAGAGCACAATGCATGTTAATTTTACCTCCACTGTTAAAGGTATATAAAGGTATACCATAGACCTTTGCTGTAAGTAAGGAGGATTGATTTTACTGTTATATTAACACATATCAACTGACTGAGGGTTTGTTGCCTTTGTTATGTAATTTTGTACCATGTGTTTGTCTCCCCTGATTTTGTGTAGCATGCCTGATTGTCTCCCTTGATTTTGTGTAGCATGCCTGATTGTCTCCATGCTTATTTTTTATAGCATGCCTGATTGTCTCCCTTGATTTTGTGAATGCCTGATTGTCTCCCTTGATTTTGTGTAGTATGCCTGACTGTCTCCCTTGATTTTGTGAAGCATGCCTGAGTGTCTCCCTTGATTTTGTGTGTAGCATGGCTGATTGTCTCCATGCTTATTTTGTATAGCATGCCTGATTGTCTCCCTTGATTTTGTGTAGCATGCCTGATTGTCTCCCTTGATTTTGTGTAGCATGCCTGATTGTTTTCCATGATTTGGTTAGTTCTGTCTATGATTGTCTTCCTTGTTTTAGAGCATTGCATACGTAAATATATGTCTCCCATATTTTGATAGCATCAATTGCATACATGATTTTATATTTTTTTATTTGCTAACATGATTGTCCCACTTGTATATTTGCAGACGAGGATGAGGAGAACGTGATGTTGACAGAAGTGACAGGGGAGCAACTTCAGGGTAATCTGGATGTGTCCCACATATCTGTGTCTCACGGCCAGGTGATCACAGGCGAGGAGTTAGATGGGGACTACATTGAGGGGGTAGAGGAAATCTCGAGGGAGGGGGTAGAGGAAATCCCAAGGGAAGGAGAGGAGGAGGAGATTACCATTGAGGAGTTAAGGGTCGGGGCCATCACTGTAGATGGTGGGCAAGTCATTGAGGCCCATGAGGTGGAGAGACTTGTCGAAAGTGAACTGGAGGAAGCAGCTATGGATATTTCACAGGAAGTAGAGGAAGAGGAGGAGGAAGAACTATCTATCGCTATGGTGTAACTTTTTCTGTGTAAATTGTTCTGTGTATATATGAATGCTCCTTCGTGAATAATACATGCTTATGGCAGCATGATGTGGACTCTTGCCCCAGTTTCAGTAACATTCCATAACTTATGGGGCTTCCTTAAGATTTTCCATATTAAAGCATGACTGAAGTTAAGGAAAATTTCATTAACTGAAATGTCTCCTTAACTCCTATAAATGCTTTCCTATGAAAAAGTTCAAGTTAAAAATATCCTTACGTTAAGGAATGTTCATGAAACTAGGACCAGGTTGTTCTAGTGATATGGTGAAGGATGCTCTCCGACTGAGGTTCAGACTGCTGTATATATGATGTGAGGGTACGACAATGTCTGGAAGGAATGTTTTCCAGCTTAGGTTTCTTCAAAATTTCAGTTTTACGAGAACTACTGGTAGCTATTAAGCTACTGGAACATTGTTTTCTGTATCTAATGAAGATGTTAATAACTTGGATAATGACACACTGTACTGTTTTGAGATTCATTTACAGTAAGTTCCTGTAAAAAGGTAGTGTGGTGTTTGAAATTGTGCTTCGATGACTTTAACGTGTATCATGATATTTGAGAGGCAGATCACCATCTATCACAATGTACATTGCTTTCATAGGAATATTTACTATTACATCAGCCACTGAAGTGTGCTTGTAGAACCTGTTGATGGGGAACATGTATTCCATTTTGGTCTAATACTTTGGATACTGGGTATGTTATATTTTAGGCAGTTAAAAAGACCCAGCATAATATGTTGAAAATTTGACATTACTAGGAGAGCATTTCATCAGTTTGAATTTTTTAACAAACAAGTTGAAACAATTTATCAAATGTAATCTTCAATAATGACAGAGTGTAGAGTGTAGTTTTGATATCATACCTGGATTGTGACAAGATGTTCATTTTGTAGAATTTTTTAACATTTGTGTTATGCAGTATTTTTCTCTTTTAATCACAACACACCAAATAGCACTATACTGTGATACATAAGTCCCTTTATATACCATACAGGTTTCTCGCATCATTCACAGAACTGTCTTCAGTTTTACCTGTACAGGATCCCACTGCCACACACTCAGTCACGTGGGGGGAAAAGCAATGGATGTCACGCAAACAATAAACAAGAGTTATGGCCCTTAAAGGAATAAAAACAAAGGAAATTGGTAGATTTATACAAAAACACCAGAATATTCCATATTATTCCTTGCAACAAGCTACACCACACACAGTTTGTTTAACAGAACTGATGATCTTTGGAATAAATCACAACATTAGCTGTGAAAATCAGTGACTAGACCGTTCAATAATTATGGAAGCGTACATTTCACTTATCAAGTCTGTTCCATCCAATATTCTTTTTCTGTTGATTTAGATATCTGTATATTGGCAATGTAGCAACATCCACTGACATAGTGTAATTGTTTGAGACATATTTAAATTCATTTTGAGAACAAACTTTTAGATGAAAGCATTTCTATATATTTACTTGTAGTGTGAACCTCTCTTACCAAAATAATTTGATTCCTTGATTAAATGTAAATTATTTTAAAAATCTCTTGACTGTTCTCCGTCATATAATATCTCCGTTGCGTTAATTACCTAGCGAGTGTTTCCTGTAACTCCCTTAGGGCATAACAAGTCCAAGGCTATTACTCCTGTTCTTCATTAATTCTCATTTCAAATTGCATGCTTTCTTTCAACAATTGAACTTTATTCCAACCTTGGAGGAAATGTTGCCGTACCTGTGCATATAGTGGTAATTAAAGTACAATCTACTGAAAGGAAGACTTTGTGAATTACATTTCCTTGGCAAGCATCTATACCATATATTCACAATAAAGAAGCACACACCTGGGCCTACAGCAAAATTTTCACTGTCGGGAAATCGAGAGAGAAAAATATATTTTCAAAATCTTGAAATAAGTTTGAAAAGGTAATTGAAGATTGAAAAGAACTCATCTGATTGGATAAGGTAACTTTAACTTGTTCTTGAAATCATTGTCTTAGAATATAAATTTTTATGAAGTAAGCACATTACCATTCTGCTGATTAGTGTGGAGAAAGGTAATGTTGTAATATATTCATATACTATTTCCTAACAGCACAGCTAGGTCTGATCATCTAGAAATCCTACTCCTGGTTCAGCACAGCTATAGGTCTGATCATTTAGAAATCCTACTCCTGGTTCAGCACAGCTATAGGTCTGATCATTTAGAAATCCTACTCCTGGTTCAGCACAGCTAGGTCTGATCATCTAGAAATCCTACTGCTGGTTCAGCACAGCTATAGGTCTGGACATTGTAGAAATCCTACTCCTGGTTCAGCACAGCTAGGTCTGATCATCTAGAAATCCTACTCCTGGTTCAGCACAGCTAGGTCTGATCATCGTAGAAATCCTACTCCTGGTTCAGCACAGCTATAGGTCTGAACATCGTAGGTTCAGCACAGCTAGGTCTGAACATCGTAGAAATCCTACTCCTGGTTCAGCACAGCTATAGGTCTGATCATTTAGAAATCCTACTCCTGGTTCAGCACAGCTAGGTCTGATCATCGTAGAAATCCTACTCCTGGTTCAGCACAGCTAGGTCTGAACATCGTAGAAATCCTACACCTGGTTCAGCACAGCTAGGTCTGATCATCATAGAAATGTTTGATCGACACCTGAAAGATGACTAACGCCTAAAAGATATAGGTATATAGAAATAAAATATAGTGTCTGTGATCAGTACCATGAAAATAGATAACAATAAAAAAGCACTGCTTATGCTTTCACAGACTTGTGTAGTCATCAGACAACAGTTTATATAATGATGTCATAGCTAACAACGATGTCATGATAAAGTGGGTTTTTTTAAATGTGTTAGTAACTCTGCCTCTTAGTTTATCATTTGTATTATTAGAACAACTAAAATTTGATCACTGTTAATGTTTTAATGGTTTAGTTGTGTTTTCGATCACTGGTGATAAACATTACCTCAACGAGTGTCTAGTCAATTGACAGGTCAGTGTTTGTGATATAATAGATATGAAAAACTGTACAAATATATTCTCTCTGAAATGTATCTAACCATGATGCGTTATGCATCTCTTAAAGTTTGAAATCTGGGACAGCGCTGCCAGAGTGGTTAAGGCTTCTGACCATCCACACTCACTAGCCCTCTATCACTAGGTCACTAGGTCACCAGGTCGCAGATTCAAGGTCTATGCGGAACAGTTGCCAGGTACTGGTCGCAGATCCAAGGTCTATGTGGAACAGTTGCCAGGTACTGGCCGCAGATTCAAGGTCTATGTGGAACAGTTGCCAGGTACTGGTCGCAGATTCAAGGTCTATGTGGAACAGTTGCCAGGTACGGTCGCAGATTCAAGGTCTATGTGGAACAGTTGCCAGGTACTGGTCGCAGATTCAAGGTCTATGTGGAACAGTCGCCAGGTACTGGTCGCAGATCCAAGGTCTATGTGGAACAGTTGCCAGGTACTGGCCGCAGATTCAAGGTCTATGTGGAACAGTCGCCAGGTACTGGTCGCAGATTCAAGGTCTATGTGGAACAGTTGCCAGGTACTGGCCGCAGATTCAAGGTCTATGTGGAACAGTCGCCAGGTACTGGTCGCAGATTCAAGGTCTATGTGGAACAGTTGCCAGGTACTGGCCGCAGATTCAAGGTCTATGTAGAACAGTTGCCAGGTACTGGTCGCAGATTCAAGGTCTATGTAGAACAGTTGCCAGGTACTGGTCGCAGATTCAAGGTCTATGTGGAACAATCGCCAGGTACTGGCCGCAGGTCGGTGGTCTTTCTCCAGGCACTCCGGTTTTCGTCCCAACACCAAAACCTGGCAAGTCCTTTAATGACTATAATACTACCAAAAAACACACACAAAACAAATCGAGCAATTCAAATTTGAAACACATGCGACGGAGGTTTGTTGAAGATCTTGACTAGATGACATCAGCATAACTCCAGGTTATTACAGACACCTGTATATTAGTGTAACTCCGGGTTATCCTGATACAGACACCTGTTCATAAGTGTAACTCCGGGTTATACTGATACAGACACCTGTATATTAATGTAACTCCGGGTTATCCTGACACAGACACCTGTATATAAGTGTAACTCCGGTTTATCCTGATACAGACACCTGTATATAAGTATAACTCCGGGTTGTATAACACCGGGTTATCCTGATACAGACACCTGTTTATAAGTGTAACTCCGGGTTATCCTGATACAGACACCTGTATACACAGACACCTGTATATAAGTGTAACTCCGGGTTATCCTGACACAGACACCTGTATACACAGACACCTGTATACACAGACACCTGTAGATACAGACACCTGTAGATTAGTGTAACTCAGTGTTATCCTGACACAGACACCTGTATATACAGACACCTGTATATAAGTGTGTTTCATTATCTATTACACTGCACACGTTTTGTTTGTTTCCTATTTTTGATCATTCACAGAGACAAAAAAACAACAACAGTGGAATTAGAACTTATTGCTATGAAAATAAATGTTGGTGTTCTCTAAACAATTATTGCAAAAATACAATTGTGAAAGTGATTCAGTGTTATTTAATGAATATTTGACACCCTTAGTAATTTATTGGCGATACTGTGTTTAATTGATGTTTCGGGTATATTTACCAGGGTGGGTTATGTATGGATTTGTATGCCAGTTAGAATGATGAATGTCTATTTTTCAAAATTGATCGAGATAAAAGACAAAAATAAATTTGATATGCAAAGTCAACTAGGACTTGTTACTTTTTTGTTGTTTTGATTTGTGTAAAAACAAATTTTAATACTTGTATGATGCAGCCTTGTCAAATTAAGGTATGGTCAAAGATGAAGGTTTTCATCAATTCTTGCTGTAAATTTTGCTTGAACTGTGGAAGTATAAAGGGAGTAGAATCACCAGGTAGGAGGAGGGGGAGAAAGATTGGGTTACTTCCTGGAAAACATTATGTAAACAAGGTTTCACATTTTGCTATGTCATGAAATCAGATATTCATACAATCATATTATCATACTAAACTATTCCATCACAGATCCGGCTGTGGTATATAGTTCGACAGTAATACATGTTGCTCTAGCAAAGTGAAGTAAGGTTCATTGGTTGTTGAACCAGGATATCGGGTCAAGGCCAACATAGTTTAGAGTAACTTTGAAAAATTCAAGATAGTTGCTTTGTGAGCTGAATTTGTCAGGGTGAAGTTTCCAGGAAAACGAATAATAGGGGATGTCTTCTAAGCTCTTGTGTGGAATGATACCCTAAACAAACACTACAAGGGTATGATCCTGAAGACTAGTACAACCTTCATTGGTGTAATTTGTTATGTTTGATCTAGTGCCACTTGGCCCTTCATTCTTTGTGAAAATTTATAATGCATTCAGCAGCATTTTATTTTTTTTAAGTTCTCTCACTTCACCTCAAGGTTTTGACATTTATTGGTAGCATAGATCAACTTGAACGGTAAGACATGATTTAAAGTACCAGGTACAGGCACGTAGATGAGCATACTAGGTACAGACTTTATTCGCATAATTGTCACAAGAAAATTAAACTAATAGACTAGTAGAATTTGTAACAGGTTTATCTCAGTGATATAACTGATCAGAGCGAGATGGGACTTTTTGAGTTCCCTTACGCCTGATGTTATTTAGGCGTGTTCAAGTGTTTATAATTGTAATTAAATGTCCAGCAGGTAAGTCTGATTTCGGGAGAATAATCCCAGTGTAAACAAGGTGCTCTGGTAAGATAGGTACATTCTTCAGGTTGTTAAACCAGATTATGAGGTCAATTTAGGAGGAGGCTGCGACAGTACTGGGTAACTCTAAAAATAACCATGGTATTTTTACACCATACCAGATGCAGAGGATTTGATTTATTAATGTGAACTTTCCTGGAAAAAGAAATTATGAATGAACATATATTTGTCATTTTCAAACAGTATTTGTCATTTTCGGGCTTGCCTCTTCTACAGCATGTCATTTGCTTCAAATGTAGGGGTGCTACCCTTGTTTAAAGTAAAGAGCTGTCCTTGCTCGAATTGGTAAATCATGGCACTTCTTACTTTGGATATAGAGACAATAAGTGATTTATACATTAAAAAATAGAAATTACTTAAGCCATCCATTTAGTCATACTTTCTCAATTAACGGAAAAGGTAGACGGTATGGTTACAAGTGTTATATGCTGGTAACAACGATATGTACCGAGGTAAAACTGAGAACCCTTCGATTTGAATGAAGACACTTCTACCACATAATGAGGCCATTCTCAGCACGTCGGTTTTGAAGCTTACCTTAATTCAAAGACATGACTTCATAATATATTTTTCGCATGTTTAAAATAGGTCCGATTTTGATACATTACAACTGAGTAAATATGTGGCAGTAATGCGCAAAATACCGAAAGTCAGCGGCAACTCTTCTGGAACCAGTTATTTCCGAATATGAAATTCATGGAAAGTCTTTGTTGCTACTTGCATTTTTCTAACAAATATATTTTAAAAAAATCTATGTATAGTTTGGTCAAATCGTTGTGTCTGGAGGAATGCTTCAGGGGTGTTCCGTTCTTATAATAGACAACTCGATACCCGATACATACCGGCGGACAATATCATCAGGAGCAACAACTGTGTACCAAATGAATCTTGGCTAGCTTAATGGAGAAATATGTACGGGTATTGAACTCTTAATAATGTCATTTTGAAATGTCATAAACATTTGAATTTGTTTACGAATGTTTTAGAAAAACGTCAATGTGGTATATCCAAATTTGGCATATTTCGATATTCAAATTAGATTTTTTTATCATTATGAAAGTTCAGACGAAGCTTGTGCGACCTGACACCAACCCGACTCTTTTCGTTTGGTTTGTTGTAACTTGCATTTCTGGAACAAGCGTTAATCTACATAAAGGATTGTAGACACGGTTGAGTGAGGACGCAGCATCTTTGTTCCTCCCCGCCCAGGTACGCGCGAGGGGTAACAGGACGCCTCCTGATCCCTATCTATAGAAAGTGATTCCTGTCTTTACTTATAAGATGTAAGGATAAGACTACCCGAGAAGAAGCAGGGGTCGGAAGGTAACCCTTGTCTGCATCTTTGTGATCCCTAAAAAGAAAGTAAATTCGTGAATAGGGGTCGGTGAATATATCCAATGCCTGCCAAGGTCGTGCTCCAAACAGCCCCACAATGGAGTAGTTTGGTCGGCAACGTCGGGAAGGTCAGGAGCTATCTAGTCCCCTGATCTGATGACTTAGGTGATTAATTCGCCGTGTCTGTGTTGGTGTGACAGGGCTGGAGCCCTGCCTTTGTTACAGCTACTGTATAGTACTGTATATATGAATCTGCTGTATTCATCTCTGACCTATCGTATGTATTAACAAATGGCTCCTTTGTGTGCCCTAATGACTAATGCGGCTATAAATTCCACCAAACTTTCACATATATAAAATACCTTATATTTCATCCTTTCTCGTGAATGAAGAACGCAAACCTATCCTGGCCAGAGACAAAACGTGGCAAACAGATGAATTGAACAACATTAATTGTGTGTGTATACTTAATGAAAATATTGTGAACATGCATACCCTACGTTATTCGTCACCTATAGAGCCTTGTCGATGATTAGTGTGGGTAGTAGTACTAAAGTATCAGCAGGATTCGGATGGAATGGCCTTTTTTTAAATGTTATTTCAATAGTAATTGCCATAATTTATCATGTATATATTCTCCCAATATCATTAATTTGTTTTGCAATGTAAAATATTTCAATTACATCCCAAATACGTCAATTAGGGAGCTCGCAATGCCTTCTATACCGGATCCTCGAGGAATCCTCCATTGTTTGATCCCTCTGTATCTTTGTTGCAGCCTATCTTTTGTAAGATAAGTGCTGTCCTGTATATATGTAGTATCCACACTGTCCTGAAAAAAGCACGAGTACGTCAGTCCGAAAATTGGACAAATAGACAAAGTCAACTCCGCCCAATACACTCGATGTACTCCGGATACGGGGGCTGGTGGTGAAGGCTAGCCCGCGAAACACATATTTTTTATTAGTAGAAATATCCCGGGAAAATTTAGCCTTAGTGAGGAATAATTAATCTGCTATTATTTATTTCGCAATTCCATATTTTCAAAAAGAAGGTCGCGAACTTGGAAATGGTTTAAAGAGTAAGATTTTGATAGTTATGGAATGGCTGCCTGGTACGTTTACAGAAAGAGATAGTGGATAGCAGCTTCAGTTAGGACGGTATCACTCCAACACATTTAGAATTGTTTTCGAATTGACATTTATTTTTTTAACATCGTAAAATGTTCCATGCAACATATAAGATGTTCTTTCTTTTTATTTAGAGAAATAAAAATGAATGTGAATTTACAAGATCTGAGATGTCCTACAGTTGTCAAGTTTATATTGAAATTAAAAAAAGGAGCAATAGCATTTTCTTGGAAGAATTTGATGTAATTAGCATCACTTACATTTGGTGTAATTAGCATCACTTACATTTGGTGTAATTAGCATCACTTACATTTGGTGTAATTAGCATCACTTACATTTGGT